TTTCCACCCGCTGTCTCTCCCCTGCCATCTGCGCGCCCGCCTACTCTGTCTCCCCCCTCCATCTGCGCATCCGCCCGTTGTCTCTCCCCACCAGCTGCGCGCCCACCCACACTCTCCCCCCCGCTCTCTTTTCCCCCCACCATCCCTGCTGTAGCGCTTGCTCACGCACTCCCACCCCCCGCCTCACGTACACATTTGGACGGGATCAGTCTGGGGTTGGGGGGGGGGGGGGTGCGGGGGGTGCCAGGAGACATTTCTGCCATTGTCTGGGATGAGGTGCCCCATGTGCCAGACCGGCTGGGGGGTCACTCTGTCCTCCCTCTGCCTGCCCCAGCTGATGGTTTGTGTATAAGGTACGGTGTCGGTGTGGGCTGCTTCAGACTGGGGGAGTGGGGGCTCAGTTTCCTAAAACGCGACTGATAGCTGACCAGTAATCTGTGTCTAATCCTGACCCTCACTCCTCCTCCTACCCCTTCTCCTCCCACCCCGCCCCAGCTGATCTAACAGATAAACTCTGTTTACCTCTGGTTTTTATTTCATCCTGAGGCTAAAAGAGAGAGAGAGAGAGGAACTCCTCAGGGAACGGGCAGGTAAATACCCGCCCTGCCAGGACCAGCACTCTATCAGACACAGCCCCCTCTCTCTCTCTCTCTCTTTCGGCAGTCGTCCAGACAGACAGGAACCCTCTCCCGCCCCACCTTGCCTAATCCTGAATGCCAATCTCGCAGCTTTCAGAGTCCCTCTGTCCCATTCCCACAGGAACGCTGCTTTTAAAGCACGACTCTCAGCAAGTGAGATTCGTTTTGAGAAAAACACACACTTTCAGCAGACTCGAAGCCCGATTTCTCTTTGTTAAGTTAATGGTTGCTTTACAAATAATGGGTTTTTTTTTACTGTTAAAACAGCCTTGTACATACAAATTATATATATATAGAGAGAGATATATATATTAAAAAAAAAGGACTACTTTGAACAAAGGCTGGCTTGATGTTGTCTCAATCTCTGGTTGTCACTGCAACCCCAGGGCAAAGTTGGGAAACTGGGAAAGGACTCGCTGGACGGTGGATTCAATCGGAATTCTTGAAAGGGAGGGTTTTCGAGGGAGAGGGGTAACTGCAACACGAAGAGGCAGTGGATGGAACGTTAGCGGGTGGAATACTGTTTCTGTACCCTCTCCAAAGCCTCCACATTCCCTCTGGGGAGTGTGGTGACCAGAACTGTGCCTAACTTTAGAAGAATGAGAGGCGACCTTATTGAAACGTACGAGGTTCTCAGGGGGACCTGACAGGGGGAGATGTGGAGGGATCGTTTCCCCCCCACACCTTGTGTGGGAGAGTCTAGGACCAGAGGAGGGGGCCCATTGAAGACAGAGACGGGGAGGAATTTCTTCCCTCCGAGGGGAGTGAGTCTGTGGAATTCTTTACCGCAGACGGCTGTCGGGGCTGGGTCGTTCGAGGCTGAGATGTTTCATCAGGAAGGGGGATCGAGGGGTTATATTCAAGGCTGAGAGAGAGGGATTTTTAATCAGGAAGGGGGATCGAGCGGTTATATTCAAGGCTGTTAGTGGGTTTGATCGTAAGAGGAGTCCCAGACAAGCACCCACCGACAATGGTTGAGAACACAGAGTTGGATGGCACTTGGATCTTCATTAATGTGTAAGACTACCTGATTTAAATTAGGGATAAACGCTGGTAAGGGAGCCGCAGCGAGGGCGGGTCGGTGCTCAGAGCATGTTCCGAGGGTGGTCTGAGCTGTAGAACTCTTCAAGGTTCAAATCTTTGCCCATCAATTCATCCTCCACAGCTTCCAGGGCCCACTGGTGATTGACGATCTCCAGAGCTTCCCACTCGGCCTGAGAGACAGAGGTGCTGTGATTGTACACACTCCCTGAGACACGGCGCACACCCGCTCTCCCACCGACCACCGCCCCCCACCCGCACGCCGTCTCCCGCTCCCGCTCCCACTCCCCCCCTGCTGCCTGCACGCCGTCTCCCGCTCCCATTCCCACCGCGTGCACGCCGTCATGCTCCCTCTCTGCCCCCTGCGCGCACACTGTCTCGCACTGTGCATGCCATCTCGCACTCCCTCACCCCCTTCTGCATGCACGCCGTCCCATGCTTTCTCTCTCTCACACACACACTGACCTTGAACGCTCTGTTGGTATCTGGGGGCACAGACATTGCACTGCCTGCCATATGCTGCTGAAGAACATGGAAGTGATCAGCGGCTGTGGGAAGAGAGCGAGGTGAGTTACAGGGGAGAGGGGCCTCGAGACACAGCAATCTCCCTCCCCCGTGCTGACCTGTGTACCCACGCTCCCAAGGGCTTACCGTTGTCCTGGCCAAGGATTAAGGAGTAGACACTGCGCAGGCCAAACACGTTGAGGAAATACCACGAAGCTGAACTGACCCTGAGAGAGAGAGAGACAGCGTCAGGTACGGAAACCTCTCCACAACACCATCCCCCTTTAGCTGGCAAAAGGGCCTTCCCTTTCAGAACTGCTGAGGCTCGATTTGCACACAGAAAGCTCCCACTCAGGGCACAGATGCACCTCTGTGCGGGTGGGGGTGAAGGGGTAGGGGCGAGGGTTGCTGAGGGATAAATGTTGCGCTCAGGACCCTGCAACAAACAACCGACAGCAGCCCCTCCGCCACCCTGTCTCACCCACCTGCTGCCATTCGTGTCTGTGAGACCTTCTATCTCAGGGAGGCAGATGAGCCATCAGGTCAAGGACCACATCTCCTGTTCCTGTGTAACAGGTTCGAGAGCGAGGAGATGAAAGTGCTTACCAGGAGGGGTCCAGGGAGACCAGTTCAATTCCTCTCTGCAACATCGGCTTGAACCGTAGAGTCAGCGGGAATGGGACCTTCGCTGTGTGTTGGGGGGACGGTGGGGAGAACAAGAATAGGAGAGGCTGTGTTAACAAGGAGCAGAACGAGAGTGAAAACATCCCAGACGCCAGGACGCAACCTGAGAGTGGCGCCCAAAACAACCAATCACATCCCCTTTCCCAGCTAACCGCGGAACCATCTTCCCGAATCCCGGACACAGGTGACGGATAACTCACTGGTGACAAATCCCGAAAAGGCCCAGTTGATCCAGCCCCCAATCAGGATCATCGGAAGCACGTTGGTCAGATTTCCCTTCAACATGTCAGTCAGCATCCGAGGGTCTGAGAGGGGGACGGGGAGAGAGAGTGTGAGTGTCAGAGAGCACAGCGACAGACCCGTCCCCCACCCAGTACTGTACCCCAGTGTTATACAGCGACAGACCCGTCCCCCACCCAGTACTGTACCCCAGTGTTATACAG